TGGGAACAGATGGTCGCACTTGCAGGCAAGGTCCAAAATTGTCGAACATGCTCCAGGTTGTCTTTACCCATGGCATCCAGGGATTGGAAAGTGAAAGGGATAGACTTCTGGAAAGCCAAACAAAAGAAGCAGAGCAAAAGACATGAGGCATGGAACACCCATCGAAAATGAGCTGGGCTGCAAACATGCTTCCGTGGCATGGTTGAAAAACCGTCGCGACATGAGCTCTGTTGAAGAAATCCAGGGAATATTCGCTTGGTTGAACAAAAGCCAGAGAACATAAGTTGGCCGAAAAAACCGAGACAATTTGCTGGGCTGAAAAGATATTGCATCATTCAGCCCTGAGCCTTACTTCTAGGGACTTGTTCAAAGTTAGACATTGGGTGCTCAGTATTACGGGCCTTCTGCAATGTGTTGCCACCTATATCGACTGCAACCCTCAAACTCTCTACGCCATACTACGCAGTCGCAGCCTCTTCTCGCGGCATTCGAGCTCGGGGCAATCACAAATGCCCTTGCCGCCCAGGAATCTGGAAGACATGAAGGAGTGCACGACAGTTCGCAGCATCTGCGCACGAGGCAAGCTCAGGCTTTGGTCTGGGATACAAGGCCTTTGGGCTCCAAGACCCTGGTACTGAAAAGAGACTCATTTACTCTGTCTGCAGCTGTTCACACAAGCGCTCACTTAGACGAGAAGCCACACTTTCCCCCGGCATCGTGAATGACACTGCGGCCAGGCTTGTTTGTGATTGTCACATGTCTCTTGACTGATTACAGTAAAGTACCTTTTTTTTGGAGGAGGCTGCTCGCCCCAGTGTAAAACATGTAGACAGACAAACGGACGGACGGATAGACACACATGCATGCATGAATACATACACACACACACACACTCCCCAACATCAAAATGCCCAGCCTGGGTAGGTTGCAGTAATTTATGATCAGGGTGAAACGTTGTTCTTTGGTGCTAGAATCGGAAAGCCAAGTAATGCTCAGTGGCTCCAGGGTGAGGCTTTTGAGATGAAGGTCCCATAAAACACCTTCGAAATTGAACTGCAGATCATCAGCTGCAGAGCTGTGATTAGGCTGTGGGGCATTAGAGCATTAGAGGTCGTTCATAGTGTGCCGTAGCTTGAAATCCGCTTTCCTGCTACCTCATTGATGGGACCCTTTATGCAGACTAACGGTTGCAAGATGCTAGTAAAAAGTGCCGTGTTTGATGATGCACCTTCTCTGGGGGACAACTATGGTGCGAGTCGTTTTCCACAAGCTGGCGTGACATTATGCCCCCAAAGCCACCTCCGTGTGGCGCAGGTAGCGTGTCCTTGTACACCATACGTTGCAAAGCCCACCGACCCTCAACGCGACCACTCTTAAAATTGAAGCAAGCACCTGGAGTAGTTGTGGAATTCCTGACCAGATTGATTTCTTATCTGAGCAAGGGAAGGAATTTGAAGCAATCTTTCCTTTTGTCCTGCTAAGCCTCCAAGCGCTGGTATGCCCGCAGGCCTTCAAAGGCTTGGGAGCCAGAACCCTGTAGTCTGCGGCCTAGGCGGCAGTGGCAAGACTCAGAAGTCATAAACAATGACGACTAAGGCTTCCCGACGATGCTTTACATTCGCAATGGCTACGGGCATTGCTCGCGAATTTTTGTGATTATGGAAAAAGTTTCAGCATGCTTTTGAAGCCGCTGCATGTTCAGATTCGCTCCTCCCATGCAAGCAAAATGGACACTGAGATGTATTAGGACTTGATATGTGTCTCGCAGGAGTACACGGGGATTTGCTGTACGAGTAATGCTGAAGACATGGCACACACGAAAACCTCCACGGAATAGCTCCTAGAATCCTCGAAAGTGCAAGGGTTCTGGTTTGCTGCTCTGCGCGGGGGGGGGGGGGGCGANNAAATGCCAAGAATCGCTCAGGCAACCCACGCGCTATGTTCCGGCACAATGACACCAACATGCAAACATGGAAGCGCTAGGTACGAGTCTTTGTCGGAGCTGCTGAGCGCTGCTACTTGCTGAGGTCGGCATATACAACGAACAAGTGCCAGAAGGGGCCCTTCGTGGAGGCCTTGTGCGCTTGTAGGGCGAAACGTGCTCATGCTCTAGCGCAATGAGGGTAACTGATTTGCCTGGCCATTCTATTATGATTTCGTGATCTCAAATTTAGCCAATGTGGGACCATTTGCCATGTAAGGCATTATTTGGGGTGAGGTGGGGTGAAGTTTCCATAATTTGCCCAGGAATTCTTGTTTCCCCAGGCTGGTGTGTCGTTTAATTCGCAAAATGGAAGCTGAGTCTATGTTATGTACCAGATGTCTCAGCTACTACCAGTAGGAAGTCGAATAACAAGACAAAATCGTTGGATCCCATGCCAAAGAGGAAAGCCAAACATTCTTGAGGGATGTGAGGATGGGCCATGCAAAAAGCGGTGCTACATTACAGCATGCGTTGGTACACCGGCGGGGCAGCTGCCATCCTTTACGCGTCTCTCGCATAAAGAACTTCAGGCCCGGGCCGGCAACGGTGGAGGAGGCTCCACATGCACTGCACCAGGCAGACGAACTTTTGTAGCTGACTTTCGCACCTTCACCATCGCCACCAGTTCGCATTGCTATCATGACCGCAACGTCAAAACATGTCAAAGCCTTAGGGTGACATTCAACAGCTGACATCGCATCCTTAAACAGCTTCGTTTGTTACGAACATGCGCAATTCCGCTTTGTAGCCTACGCCAGCCTCGAAAGGCTCGCTAAAGTCAAGTCCATCTCTGCAACCAACAGATCCACACGAAAGATCATAACTTATCCCGACGAACACAAAAAACCTTAACCATCTCCCTGCCTTTGCCCTGGCAACCAACGATTCTTTCAAGCGAGCCCACCTTTTGGGGGATTTGGCAGGAGCTTTAGCATTCAAGAGCGTTCAGAGTGCGGGGTTTGATTTTTTCTTCCTCGCGGGTTGCATCGTGCGGGCTAATAATCTAGAACGAGTGTATCTGCAAAAAAGGCCCCGAGCCTAGTTGTGGGTTCATGTTGCTGTGGAAGGCTTTCGTGCGTGCCATTTGTGCTAGAAGATCTGGATACGGGACATGCGGGACGGGCTGTGTGGTTCTTGAGACTATTAGGCTCGGACTTTGGGGCAGTTTGCCGCACCCGGACTGTGAAAACCCAACCTAAACAAGCTCCCGAATCCTTTAGGCTTAGCTCATCGAGGATCCTCTGGCTCTGGGAAAACAGCCTGAGTGTTAAGCTCCAAATTGACGACTAAGCGTTTTGATGCGTTTCCATTTCACATTGTTTGCAATGCTCACGGCGCCCAACTTCTATGACAGCCCATATCTAAACACCTCTGGCACATTCTGGCACCTTGAGCCACTGCAAATTTCTGGAAGCCATGATAAGTTGAACTGCCTCAAAGCGTGACCACCGCACGAACAGTCGACACAGCTTCAAACAACGAAGCTCTGTGACTCAGGAGGCCAAAGGGCTGATTTGCAAAGCAAACTTCCAGCCAAGGCTCTCAGCCATTTATGCAATTTGATTTCCGTGCTGTTTGGATTCTGGGCAGCTAACGGCGAGTAAAGCAAAGAGGTTGTGTTTCACCCTGGCAAAATGCAGCAATGAAGCTGCGCCACCTGAAACGCTGACTGCGTCGCGCCAGCTTCTTTGGCGCTGCGGCACGAGGCTTCCGTAGCATGGCCTCTTCTAGGGTCTTGTGAACTTCTGTTAAAGCTGGGGCTCCTGGTCTTTCATTTAGGTCCTGGAGCCTGCTGAGAGGAGCCCAAATGAAAATTTCAACGGTTCCACGAGAGCCTCGTAAGCAAGCATGGTCTTTGCATGGACTTTATCCTAATACAAGAATCCATGTAGATTCTTCAAAGTCTTGGGACCTCACTAGCGATCTTGTGTATCCAGGGTCCAGGCAGAATGCAATTTACACAAATGGAGGCTGAGGTAGGGAAAGTGGTTTTCAATCATCTGTGCGGGGCTGAGCTCGGGGTCTTTTACTCTTGGACACTGGTAGAGGATTGGCTTCCTCTTCAGGCTTCCTACAATAAAATTAACTTTGACACAAAAAAGAAGAAAGTTCAGGCTCAGACCGCAGACAATTGATAAGCCGTGAAAAGCGAGGCTGTTTGCACTGCACAACGGGCTGCATGTGCTGCCAAGCTGCTCTAACGGAGCCCATGCCAGGCTGCAAAGCCACACGCATGCGCCTGGGCTACGATCCGAACGCGTGCTAGTGCATCGGGTGCCTTTAGGCCTGGCCTGCTGCCTCGAATCATCTTCAAAAGCTTGAACCCGGCTTGAACCCGGTTGCGGACTGTTGCTCGTGACAAAGCGTCGCAGACATCAAACCATCCGGATTCAGCTATACAAGATGATGGAGCGAAATGATACTGATCACGTGAGGCAAGTGCCCAAAGCTGCTTTGATCAAGCGGCCGCTGATCTGTCTATCTTGTTTGTTTTTGCAAGTTCCCGTTGTGGATTTTGTGTGGTTCCACAGGGTCTCGTAAAAACTCGAGGAAGACCGGTCTCTGGTGGGCGCACGCCTCCACTTGCCATCAGCGGATTAGGCTCACAGAGCGCGGGGAAACCGGCGGCAACACTGCTTGGTGCCCTCTTTGTTTCGTTGTAAGATGTGGGAAGGCCCGAAGAGCAGGGAGCGGCGGTACTACTGCTGATTTAGGCGACGACAGCTTCAACATCGGCACAGCCTCAATGCCGTAGGCTTCAATACAACACGTCCACACCTAAGAATTCGGCCCTTTTGCAGCCACGTCAGCGATCTGGATGCTTTGTTTGCACCGTGATGATGCTGTGGGACAAGTTCACATTTAAGTGGATGTCCGGCCAAGTCTAAGCGCAGCCTGCATCAGCAATCCCAATCCTATTGTTAGGTATGGTTCGCATCAGATGAGGATGGAAACGGCACCACCTGGCACAGAGCATGGTCTGATGCAATACGCAGGAACAGTCACACCTCTGCACCTCAGAAGTCTTCTGCAGTGCCTGACTTGACCGGGAACTTTTCTCCCAGATCGTCCACAGCGCAATTACATGCCAAGCCAATCTGATTGGATTCAGGAAGTGTATGAGAGGGCCTCCATAACATACTTGCGGTTGATGGCTTTTTCAGCCCCGCTCATCTGGTCCTCAGCTTGCACTTTGCCAAATTGAGGAGTTAGACATGTACCCCCCAAAAAACATTAGAACCCTCTTAGGCCTTTTTTAAAGTCCATATAGTCCTTATTAGCTCCTCAAACCCTGGGGGGCGAGTACATTTGGGGGGGGGGTGCATTGTAACTCCTAACAAATGGTCCTTACACTCAAATGTATGCTGCTGTGCACAAACATAAGTCCTCTCGAGCCTGCTGTGGAACTTGTTTGGCACGCATCTGTCCCTCCAGGTCCAACCGATACCTGAAGTGTACATTCGTTGGGTGCATTGTGTAGCTTGCATGTTGGTTGCACTGATGGTGAAACATGTTGAAAAGGGGCCACGCTCTTGACTTTTTGACAAACTCAGGATCTGACTGCAAATATTTCTTCCTGCGTTCATTCAGTTGGTGCGTCTCTGCTGCGCGGTGCTCCTCCGCTGCGGCCTGCATCAACTCTGCTGGCAATGGCAACTGCTTTACATACAAAATTTGAAGCGCACCTGAGCAGCAGCCTTCAAGCTGCTTTTCTGCTCCCGGATCAGCTTCTTTTGCTGGTCCTGCATTGCCACAGGCAAGTTGCATGATTGGAAGGTGCTGAATGAAACGGCTGTCCCTTTCTGCAATCTGCTGGAAGAGAAAGTCCTGCAAGGACAGGTCCAATGTGGTCCAATTTCACGGATCAAGGTTGGTATTTGGTCATGGCGAGGACTGGCAGTGAAACACCAAAGCTAAAGACCGATCCAATGGGGACCGTATGTGACATCATATCCTTGTATGCAGAGTCAACTGCTACTCTTTCTTGCCTGACAGAATTAGATTTCCATTACAGCAGCAAGAAGGCCTGATTCTTGCGTCGCTCCATCTTGAGATGTGCTTGCTTGTCCAGGTCGGCCTAGCAAGATGAAATCGGCATCCTTTTTGTTCATCTTGCAAGATCTGCTGGCATCTGGACAGTGCATTCAGCCTGTTCTTCCCGCGCCAGGGCTTCGTTGTGTATCCTCATGACAATGTCTTGGTCATAGTACAGCTCCTTGGCTTTCAAAAGCTTCTGAGACTGCGAACGCGCTTTGCAGCGAAGTGGTGACTGTAGCTGGCACACTTTTTTTGTTATTCGAAAAACCCAACTCGCAGCTGGCTAAGCTGTCATATTCGCTTGGCTCTTCGGAGAGTGTCGCTCACCTTCGGGCCGGCCGACCATCTGGAGGGTCAGGTGATCCGGAAACATGCTACATGATATCTGATCCCAATGGCAAACGTCCGGCAAGTGTATTTAAGCAGCTAAGAAAACGAAAGCCCATAGCACACACTGCTGAATTTTCTGTGATCATGCAACGGCGTAGTGTGTCACTGCTTTTCGGGAAGGAAACTACGTAACCATGACGATGACTGTGAAGAAATGCCAGCCAGGTCTAATGCCTTACCACTGCTGTGTATCCGTACGAATCTTAACTCAGGCCATCCCTGCTTGATACGCATGCAAAACTTCGAAAACAACGTCTGCCAATCATCACAGCAAAATGCAGCCAAACTGCCTCCCCTTTCCTCTTGACCCTTGGCGGTGCTGCTGGAAGTTGGTCACGGATTTTGGGCTTCGTCGCCTTGCTCCGGGCCTCTCAGTTGCGTGTCATGCACATGCAAGGGGTGAGCGGTAAGCGATAATAGCCACCATGTAGGAAGGACAAGCGAACGCAGCGACATAGAGCCGGGTGACGCCGCAGTTTACAGGGAATCATAGAAAATGAAAAGCCAGAATGGAGTGCAGTTTTCGACAAGGGTTGTGTTGCTCTTCAACGCAGGGGCCCAGCCTACTTCTTGGTAGATGGCCTATACCCCTTCCTGCTTCTCCGGAAATGCACACATTCCATGACTCGTGTTTCTATATTACAAGGTCATGGTGGGCCAAGACCTCGTAAATGACTTGTGCGTGTTTCGCGCGAACTTTCGCGTACGTCTGTCTGTTATTCGCCTTTTTTGCTGCCCTTTCAGGCTCTCGTGATGCAGTCCTAAGAACTTGAAGGGCTCGGCGCTTGCTCAACTTTCAATGAGAGAGGGCTGTGCTTGTTTTTGAATTATTTTCGAAGATGGTTTTTTTTTTTGCAAAATGTACGTACAATTACAGCAACGAACTTGATAGTATTCATTTTCGGTGCTTGCGCCAACCCATTGTATGGCGCGTGGAGATTTCCTGCATGTTTTGGTCATGCTGCCCCTACCAAAATATTAAACACACTTTTTGGACGACTCTCAAATGGCAAGCATCATTAGCATTTGATATTCCTGCTTGGCGTCAAAAGCATTAACCGCTCCACAAGGGGCGGGTGACTGATTTTCTGACACAACTACTTACTGCTAGTGCTGCCGCTGCACGGGCACGCATAGCAAGCAATGGCGAGCAGCAGCAGCAGCAGCAGCAGCAGCCTTCTACTACCAGCCTAATTATGCCACAGTAGAAGTAGAAGGAGAAGTAGTAGTAGTAGTAGTAGCAGTACAGGTAGTAGTAGTAGTAGTCGTCGTCGTCGTAGTAGGTCCGCGTCCCGTTTGTGACTCCGCATTGTTGATCGCATACACAAATCCTAGATACCCAAACCATACGAAAAAACCACCCACCTTATCCTAAATCTGTTTATCTTGATGGCACGCGGCTAAGCTTAGAACCGCTGCAGGTTGATGGTTTAGGGGTTGGCCAGATAGGGTTCTCCCTGGTTTAGGTAGCCTGGCCTAGTATCTTTTTTTTTAATGAGTTTCTGCCAAAATAGGGTTTAAACCTTCCCTCACCCTAGCCTTTCCCTGTTTACAGCTGCTCATGATGCAGTCGTATTTTCTTAGTTCATGATAAATAATACTCCATATGCAAGAGAATGAAAAACACTGAATGGGAACTCCTCACACCCTTGGCCTAATGGGCGTAGCTTGGACTAATGGGGCGATGATAAAATTGAATCAGAACTCCTCAAACCCTTGGACTAATGGGGCGTAGCTTGGACTAATGGGGCGATGATAAAATTAAATCAGAACTCCTCAAACCCTTGGACTAATGGGGCGTAGCTTGGACTAATGGGGCGATGATAAAATTAAATCAGAACTCCTCAAACCCTT